ATCCACACTGATCCACTGGCTGGAAGCCTCTGTGTAGGCAGCAGAGGGGCAGAAGACGATCTGCGGAGGTCCCTTAAAGATTTTCCAACCATGAGCAGAGTGAGTTTTGGTTTGTGCACCCATATTGAGGTCATACGCACTGGTTTGGATGTGCGCCACTGTGGCACCCAATTTATGAACACATACACATTCCCAGCCACCAGAGGAGACATCCTCTCCACTGGCCAATTCCCAGCACCAGCCTCCAGAACAGGCCACATAACAGTCCTGGCCCCTAGGCTTCCTTCCCCTGCCACACAGACATGGCAGGGGCTGGCAGGTCCCAATTCCAGATCCCAGCAGCTCCCTCACTGTGCTGTCTCAGCCAGCCCTGCCCGCTTGAGCAAATGCCAGTCGTTCGAGTGGTGCGGTGCGACACTCCAAAGGAGGAGAGCGGGGGAAGAATTTTTTGTGCACAGCCACGCACCTTAGTGGGAACTATGGTTCTGACTGAATGAAGGTGAATATATTCCATCTCCCTTATCCTACACTGATTTCCCTGCACAAAGCCTATTTATTCTGGCTTTGTGTAAAAAGAATTTCACCTGTTAAGCACCTGCAAAACAAACTTTAATTTAAAAAGGACTAATTAAAAATTGGTGTTTTAAATAAAATACCAGATTGTACTTTCCCAACCTCATCTCACATTGGACACAAAATGTTGTTTTTCTGTGTGTGTGAGGCTATGTCTAGACTACACGTTTTTTTCAAAAAAAAGTGGCCTTTTTTTAAAAAAACCTCACCTGCGTCTAGACTGCTATCGCATTTTTTTTGAAATTCAATCGACTTTTGTAAACCTGCTTTTACGAGGAAGAACGCCTTTTTCCGAAAGAGCTCTTTCGAAAAAAAGGCATTCTTGAACGCAAACAGGACTTTTTCGAAAGACTTGGGGCTGTCTTGATGATCTCTTTCGAAAGAGATTTTTTCAAAAGTGCTCTTTCAAAAAAGGCTTGTAGTCTAGACATACCCTAAGTGTATGTGACTAATTTTTACTTATGAAGTTTACCTCAAAATATGATGGAAATCATCAATTCATGATGGAAAAAAACAAAGAAGTAGGCACTTAAGTAATCATTTTAAGTGCTGTTCCTTCTTGTCTTGGCAACCATTTAATTAGCTTTGCTATTCATTTTTTACCAGGACTTGACAACATCAGTGCAAGATTTTTTATTAAGCAGCCTGCTAACTCAGCTACTGTATAAGGCATAGGAAAGGACTGGATAGCATTTCCATTCTAAACCCTATTTTGAGGACATGATATACTATCTATGAGTACTAATATGGCTATAACAGAGCATACAGAAAACAACATCAGCAAGAGAATTTATTCTTTTATAATACTTTAAAAATATGTGGAGACTTAATTCTATTCCCATTTATATCAATGCAAGTTTTGCCATTCACTCCAGGGCAAAATTAGGCCTCAAATTAACTCATTCCTCAGATATACAAATATAAAAAGGATGCTCTGGCAGGTATTTTCTCTTCAGTGCCTCTCCTTACATCTTGTAAGTGTGACCCCACCTACGTCACACCCTCCTTTGGAGTAACATATCCTGTTTGAAATGTCGCTTTGCATAGCCCTTGAGGTGCTATGATAGGTGTGGGAAAACTTATTACTCTTGCCTCACACTATGCAGCCATGCAGGGACTGCACAAAATTCTTGTTACACATTTATATTGTGACTACAAGGCCCCAGCCAGGTGAAAGAGCCATTGTGCTAAGCTCTACACAAACATTAATAAAGACAGTCCCTGCCCCAAGAGAGGATCTGGCTTTATGTAGGTCACACTAAGGGCTTGATTTACAGGCAATAACGGATTTTTCCAAATTAAGGGTGATATTTGCTATTTAACTATATTCCCATCTTACAAGTAATGGGCCCTACTGGAATATCATCAGGTTGATTTTCTTCTCCTAGGATGACTATTGTATATTTGTTTTACTCAACATGGGCCTTAGCTACCTGGATTTTCCAATTGAAATAAAAAAAATACTGCACACTATCAGAAGCCTCCTGTGAGGAGAAATTCAGTCTGTTTTGCACTTAACACCAAACGTTGATTCTGTTGCGAAATCATTATTAGTTTAATTTCAATCCAGGCTCAACAGAAATCAGTTACTTCGACATTTTATTCAAAATGGGCTACAAAAGCCTCCTTTTCATGGCACAAAAGGAAAAGCACAAAGGAATCTCATGTGGGTTCAAGGTCAAGGCACCAAAATAGAGACCAAAATTTTGCCCTCAATTCTGTGAAGAGGGATCTCGCTGAGGTCAGTGGAAGGGGATTGATTGAATTGGACCTGGAGTGCCAGCTTCACTTCTAACTCCCTCCTTTTTTCCGGTTTAAGACAGACACTTAAATTCCTTTGAACACAGATTTTTGCAGTTTATTGTTTAAAGACTGGGCAGTGCTAGAAAACACATTCATTACTGTTTGTCATAGAAATGGTGAATTCCAGTCACATACAATTAAGCTGTAATTCTACACAATGACAGACCAAACAAGCAAGTCTAGACAAAAAAAGCAGCTAAAAATACAATTCCTGGAGAATATTTCCTAGATTATTTTATAATCTTTCTATTGAAAATAAAGTGTATAATCTTACTTATTTAAATTAACAAAATCAGAGGATTTGTTCAGTTTTAATTCATGTAACCCTATTAAAAAATAATGTCCCAAGTTAAGCCATTTAAAAGCACTTTCTGAAAATCTGAAATGCATGGTCATATTTCTGCTAAAGGCACAAATGTTTTTAGCTAAAATCTTAAATTAAACATTACTAATTAAACTTAAATATAATGTACAGTTCCACCCTTGCGGCCAAATCTTGCTAATCTTATTAATCTAAGTATTCCCAAAGCAACCAAAGGGAAACTTGTGTGACTTAGCAGGTGAACTTGGTTCATGAGCAATGAAATTTAAACCAAACTGCAAGATATGTACTTTGGATCTGATCCTGCTTCCATGAAAGCAAATGATTGTAGGATCAGGACCTAGATGTTCATATTTGTTTTTAATTTATTTTGCTGTTTCACAGACCAAGGGGAAAAGTCCATCAAATTTTGGATTTCTAAATTGGCGAAGTCTACACACATTTGGTCACCAGTCTGTTTATTAGAGATAAATGCTGCTATAACTAATACTGCATCAAGTTACAGAAAAACAGAGTTACAGAAAAACAGAGAAAATACTGCAAGACAAGAGTCATCAGAATCTGTGTTATAATTTGTGATACTGGCTCTAGGAATGTGCTTTAACAGCATAACCATCCCTACCATACTCACAACCAATAATTGTAATGTTCAGTCAATTATATGCTGCATTAGTTGTTATATTTGTGGATGCAAATGTTTCAGAGAAAACAAGCTGCATTCCTTAAAGACTATATAGTATTAATTAAACCCTCAGATTGATTGTACACATGCCTACACTCAATGTTAATTTAAAAAAAAAAAGTTAGAAAACTTACCAATCATTAGAATCTCATGAAATGACAGAATTTTGCATAAGTCACAACAAACTATAAAATTAATTTTATTGATACAAATCCTCATGAGAAAAGCAGCCTTTTAGAGAAGTCAGAAAATTTACATTTTACATCCTCCATAAAAGTGAAAGAAAGGTGTTCCTTCAACCATTCACAACAGGAGAGTGAAAAATTCGATCTGAGCCACTCAAGAGATAGCACTATTCAAAACAATGGTCACAGAACAGGAATATCAGTTCTTAAGGACTTTATCATACTGCAAAATTAGCAGTTTAAGTGTAGTCATAGTTCAAAATAAAAGGAGAAGCAAAAGCAAACTTGTAGGAGAAGAAATTTACTTGACTAAACAATGAATCCCAGAATAAGCCAGATCATATGCACTCTCCAACATAGACACCAGCATGTCAAGTGTAGCTCTTCCTTTCTGTATCATAAGCAGGTGGCCGAAGGCCATTTCTGTAGCAGTGCCCCTCCATCATCTCCAAATGCCCTCACTCTCTCCCCAGTCAACTAGGGGAAATCAGCTGAAAGTTAAATTAATCTTTAATTTACAACATTCCATACAGTGGAGCTGGTACAGAGGCACATGTCTACTCCTGGCTTCCCCCGAAGTTAATGTAGATCTCACGGGATCTGTGGTTTCTAGTAGTTGAAAATGCCATTAACTGAGAAATGGGATGTACCTTTCTTTAAAGTAAGTCCCCTAAGATAGTAATATGCTAAACTGAGGCTGCTGTGATGCAAAGAAATACCTGAATTTCTCAAGAAAGCAAGAGCTTCTTACTTTTTCCTTCTTAAAATATATTTTAACAAAGGAAATGGATGGGGCAGAAAACTGTTAGGGCATGTCTACACTAGGAAATTATTTCAAAATAACTAAATTTTAGAGAATGACCATCCCTTCTTCCTCTAGAGCTGTGGTGTCCAACATGCTAGCCACAGGTGGGTATTTGGTGGGTTGAGTGTAGCTAGTTGTCTTGAACATTGTGGGTATTTAGTTGTTCGAGTGTGGCTAGTTTGCTATAGCAGTTGCCACTATACTGGCTACTGCTTCAAAACTGGCTGGACACCACGGATCTAGATAGTTCACCCAAATCAGAATCAAAGTACATTATTGGGATTGTGCTGTACCTATTCTGATAAAAGACCTCCAGTCTCCATGGCTGTTAATCTGTCATTTCATCTTAAGGAAAACAACCACTCATTCAAATGAGTATTGCCTAAACCTCAATGACACCCAAATATCAATGTGTAATGAAGTTGAATGTAGCGTTGAACATGAAACATAACTAATGTTTACATTGGCTTACCTTAATAAGTACTATCAAATATCCTGCATCAAATATTTGAACATAACATTTGACTCTTTAATAGAGAAAACTAAGCTGAGTCATGCAGTAGGTTTTTTTAATGTTACATTTGTAAAAAGCTATGCCAAACATTGGTCAAAACTAAAAAGAAGTCTTACCTCGAACTTCAGGAGAGAACCGAGCTGAATGGCGAGATACAAAAAGTTTCAGCTCCTGGTCTAAGTTGCATTCAATCAGATTTGTGTCCCATGATCGGATTCCTACAAGCCAATACACAATATATATTCATATCTGTGATGTATGCTTTGAAAGCTTTCAGCTGAGTATTTTTGGATTTGCATTCATCAGAGCTAAATATTTCTCCATTCCAAAGCCTTCTCCCATCCTTCCTCTTTCTCATATCCACACATTTGACAGCTATTTTGTTCATTTACCCTCACTATATCCCAAACTTGCATGATACTGAACATTCTCAGATACCACAGAAGACAGTGGTCAGTGAGAAATCAGGAAAAGACAGTTTACTGGTACTACAGGGATGGCTCCCACAATCTGAGAACTGGTTGCTTTATTCTGCAGCATTGAGAGTATATACGCCCAAACTGGCTTGCAACATATTAATGCATTGTTTTTACTGATCATTAGCTACTGAACTGCATAAAAATAAATGTTTCAGAGGACTACTTTAGGCACATTACAAGATGATTGTATTTGCTCCCATGAAGAGAAGTTACAGCTTACAAGTTGTGGTCCTTTAAATTTAAAGTATTAAATGTGCAGATTTCTTAACACTGAGCTGTTACGATAGCAATGAGCCTCCCCATATTTGAAGTGAAAATATAAGTGGTTACTTTATTCCCTGTGTTCAAGTGTCAAAATTCTGTTTCTCTCTAAATCATGAAAAATACACTTGATCGCCTCTCATAAATTAAACTTAAAAGAGTCCTACTACTTTGATGTCCAGTTTTTTTTCTTAGTTATTTAAAGAATGAGCTTCTTAACACACGCAAGGCACTGAAACTTTTGTTTCAAAAATATGTAGAAGTTTATAGTTAGTAGTTTTGATAACGTTGGAATAAATAGACCAAATGTGAAATTAAGTAAGTGATATAGAATGTTTTGTATTTTTCTAAAAACAACAGTGGTCCTGTAGCACAGTAGAGGCTAACAAAAATATATAAATGGTATCATGAGCTTTTGTGGGCACAACCCACTTGTTTCAGATGACAAATATGGAGCAAGGGGCACAGACTTTCAACCTTAAGGTAAAACATTTCCCCACTATGAATTTCATTGTTGTGGCTCAGAAACACCAATGTGTTAAAGATCCTTACTCAAGTTTCCAGGAGATATGCTACTCAATTTATTCTTCCTGTTCTTCCCCGTTCTAGTTTCAAACTCTGGGCTTCTTGCTCCATATTTATCATCTGAAGAAGTGGGTTGTGCCCAGGAAAGCTCATGAAATTATTAATATATTTTTGTTAGTCTCTAAGGTGCTACAGGATCATTGTTGTTTTTACATTTTTTTAGTTACAGACTAATATGGCTACCTCTCTGAGATTTATATTTCTCTATAACCCAAAAATGCTTTATTTTTTAAAAAGTGAAAAGTGTGCTGGAAGTTCTCTAATAAGATATGTCACACCATTTTGCAAACAAATTTTAAAGTTAATTTTCCTCTGCCAGGGCCCGTGGCTAGACAAGCAGAAAAGGGTCAAGCTGGATGGTAAGTAGATTCAGGGGTAGTGGGAGAGAAGGGTAAGAGCAGAGCCTATAATGGCATCATCCTCTTCCCATTCCCATAAACTGGATTATATCTCTGGCTTCTCCTTTACTATACATGTGATGGCATGTAACTGTGGAACTGGTATTCTGCATTATTTGGGGAGTGAAGACCTAGTTGGAGGAGATAGTGCAAGGGTGGGGACAGATGCTCAATATGGTAACTTAGGAGTGGATTCCCCATATAAGTCTGAGGATTTACATTTCAAGGACCTTGCCCCCCTGCCCACTTCAAAGGCTCTTACAACAACAAAAAATCTAATGCTTTCTGCAGCTTCAAATCTGTTGAAATACAAGTTTATTTCTCTCCTTTCCATGTGATTGTGCAGGGGGAGGGAGAGAGATGATTTAACTCTTAGCTTGCTGTTTTGAACCAATAAGCTACTCTGTGCCACCAATGACATAAATATGCTCATTCTACAGCAGATCCAAGAGGCACCTACAGAGTAGTTAGCCATGATGACTTTTGAAAAGGTCTTTATGACAGCTTTCCAGCCAGACTATCAATATGCCTGATACTGGGGTATGTCACTTAATTTAGTAACTGCCATTTTTAAACACTGTAAGTGTTTTAGAAATACATAATTTTCCATACATTTCATAAGTTTATGAAATTAACGCTCTAACTAAATTACTTAGTTGAACTATACAGTGACAGTCTCCCTCATTACATGGTAACATCTGGTATATGTACCACCAAAGATCAGTCTCTACTATGAGTCTTCATATCTTCATTTGCAAAAAAAAAAAAAACTCTTGGTCATACAATGCATTGTTGGTGAGTGAATCTGGGAATTAAATACACCACAGAAACAGGGTTCAGATTGAATTATTTCCAGGTGTAAAATACTGCAGATCAAGAATAATCTTAAAGATATCATAACCAGCATCTAGCATTATCAAGTAGCACATCAGAAAAATGTTTCTTGTAAATGTACACTGATCATAAATCACAAAGCTAAGCAATGGTGACTAAACAAATCCACAACTAGGGCAATATACAGACGAGTGGGGGGAGGTCTAGATTGGATATCAGGAAAAACTATTTCACTAGGAGAGTGATGAAGCACTGAAATCGGTTACCTAGGGAATCTCCATCCCTACAGGTTTTTAAGTCCGAGATTGACAAAGCCCTCTGGCTGGGATGATCTAGGGTTGGCCCTGCTTTGGGCAGGGGATTAGACTCGATGACCTCCTGAGGTCTCTTCCAACCCTATGATTCTATGAACAAATAATATCAAACCCTGGATGATGACAAATTGTGCTGTTTAGGGATAGACTATAAGCATTTGATAGAGCAGGGGGTGGGCAACAATTTTTGATGGGGACCACTCCAAGATTTTGGGAAGTGTCCAAGAGCTGCACTTTTCTATGGAGATGGTGCGGGATCTGGTATGGAGGTTGAGTGCAGAAGGGATCTAGGGATACAGTACTGTAGTGCAGGAGAGGGTGTGGGGTCTGAGAGGGAGTTTGGGTGAAGGAGGAGGTTGGAACCTGGGTAGGGGATTTGTGCTGCAGGGTCCAGGAGGGGCTATGGGTGCAGGAGAGGATTCTAGCCTGGGAGAAGGGTGTAGGAGGAAGTGCAGGGTCTGGGAGGGAGTTGTGACCTGGGGCAGGGATGCAGAAGGTTTAGGTGGTGACATAGGATAGGGAGTCAGGGTATTGGGGTGGGGTGGAGGGGTTGGGGCGCCCAAGGTAGGCTGTGGCCAGGAGGTGTTTATCTAGGTAGCTCTTATCCAGCGATACATTGGGACCTTCAGGCACACTCCCTGCCTGCTGCAGCCCCAGGTTCAAAGCAATTGGCTGTTCCATGTGGCTTTCTGTGCTGGTGCAGAAGATTTCATATGCTCCCTACCCCTAAAACAATCTCTCATCTTCTACTGGCTAGTTTCTGCCTCCAGAGAGCCTCATGAAGCAGCCAGAAACTTTGAGATGCTTCGTGCCCAAGAGTCCCAGCAGGGCAGGCCGTACGCCAGATTAAAAGGCTTAATAGATCTTGCCTGCTGTTGTGATAGATCTATTAAGGAACACAGATGTTGACACAGCAATGTTGCAAGTACATAGGGTCTGTCCTGCCATCAAATCGATGCATGGATATCCTTTTGATGCAAATAGGTAGAATATGGATTTATGCCCAGTTTGAGATTCTGCAATACAGTACTGGAACAGAGCCAGATTGCTCAGTCTGTCAATGCGAAAAATACAAGATTCAAGAAAATGCTGGAAGCTTAACATAATATGTAACTGTTTATCTTAAAGAGCATTTTCTGTACTTGAAGGTCCATGATTCAGCATTTCTGATAAACACCAAATTTCCAATAGTAGAAGGGATAACGTTAGGTATAATTGAGATGGTTTATAGAGATAAATCTGGAACTATGGGCAATTCAAAGACAAATAACTATATTGTTATACATGCAGTCAGTGGAAGTACAATGAACTGGGATCATTCCTTTTTTCTGGAATATTAGGAATACAGATGTTCCTAACCCTGGACCAATTATACAGAAGAAGATCTTGAAGCCATTTTTCACACATAAAAAGGCAATCCTAGACCACTAGTAGACTGCCATTTCAAAACAAGAAAGATACTTCAGAATTCTAAAATACAGTTGGTAAATTCAAAATGAGAATGTCTCTCTTCATAAAATTTAAAGCAAATGAATTTGTAATCATCCAGTCTGTACAAGACCAATCATTTGATGTAAATCACCAACATAATATCTTCTCTGATATCTGTTTCTCTTCAGTACTGTAAAAGAATCCACATTCTTCAGTGAGGATGTTCAAAAGACATACCAAAGAAAACTTAACAGGGATGTTGAACTCCTGAAGGCCTTGTTGAGAATGGATGGTTTTGGAATGGACTATTTTTTCCAGATAGTAGTATGCTTTCCTCAGACAAGAGGTTCATCAAGCCCATATTTGCTCCACAAATATATAGCTAAGGACTCCCCCAGTGTGTTAATCCAGAACAAAGCATCTGAACATTAGTAACAGCTCCAGTGGTTGACTTCCTAATCAGATCATCTGCCACCTGCAGGAAAAAGATGACTTCTAATCCAACATTTTGAGTAGACGGCCCACGGGGTTGCTTATAAATATCTAAAATGTTAAAAGATGCCACCTAAACTCACAAAACTTAGCAACAATGGAAACAAGACAGCAGGAAGTGCATAGCAGTAGCTTCAAGAGCCTGAAGAGAATTTCTCCAGAGGAAGGATGACATCAGATGTCTTGAGGGCAGAAGACACATCCGTTTGCTCTATTAATTATTAATAATTTGATTTAAAATACAGCCAACTCAGCTTTATGTCAATCAAAACTTGGGTAAAATTAGGACAATACTATGATCAAGTGGCTCTAAATTTCAGAGCACCAGCAGTTTTCACTACAAGACAATGGCAGCTATAAAGTAAAAAGGTAATTTTACAAGGTGGTTAACGCCTTACTCAGAAAGGAGTAAAAATAAATTTGGAAGTAAAACAGATAGGGGGTGATGAAGCAACAATAGAAAATAAAATTGAAG